AATTGATCGACCTCATAACGATCCGTTGGTGATTGAGTTAACGATCAGGGATCATGACGTAACAAGGGTGCTCATCGATACTGGAAGCTCAGTGAACGTCATCTTCAGGGAAACACTCAGAAGAATGGGAATCGACCTCTCCGAGGTGGAAGCAATCCCCAAACCCCTAACCGGATTTTAAGGAGAAACGACGATGACCATGGGAACGATCAGGCTTCCTGTGGTAGCTGGCGGAGTTACTAAGATCGTCGAATTCTGCGTCACCGATCACCCGGCAATATACAATGTGATCATGGGAACTCCGTGGATCAACGGGATGAGGGCGGTACCCTCTACCTATCATCTCTGCCTCAAATTCCCAACCCCAGCAGGTGTTAAAACGATCTGGGGGAGTTAGAAGGAGTCACGAATGTGCTGCCTAGCCGAGCACAAGCTAAGGAACCCCGTCACCGACGCACGAGCAGACATCGACCGCAAAAAGATGAAGACTGACCGAGAGCCCGCGAACGAGCTCTCGAAACTCTTATAGCAATTACAGATCGCGGAGAGCCGCGAAATACGGGCCGAGCCAGTATGCGATGCAGTGGACTCGGTATGTATAGATGAGACGCGCCCGGAGCGATGCGTCGAAATAGGAACAAAATTGGAAGAGCCTCTGAGAAGCGAACTCCTTTCCCTCCTCAAGGAAAACATCAACACTTTCGCCTGGACAGCAGAAGATATGCCAGGCATAAGCATCGACGTGACCTGTCACGAGCTAAATGTGGATCCGACCTTTAAACCAGTGAAGCAGCAAAGAAGGAAGCTCGGCCCCGAACGAGCTAAAGCATATAACGATGAAGTCGAAAGGTTACTCAAAGTAAGATCAATCGCCGAGGCCAAATATCCAGACTGGCTCGCAAATCCGGTGGTCGTGAAGAAGAAGAACGGCAAGTGGCGAGTATGTGTGGATTTCACCGACCTCAACAAGGCATGCCCAAAAGACAGCTTTCCCTTGCCACACATCGACCGGCTCGTCGAAGCCATTGCAGGGAATAGAATGTTAACATTTATGGACGCATTCTCCGGCTACATCAGATCCTAATGCATCCTGATGATCGAGAAAAAACGGCATTCATAACTGATCGCGGGATATACTGCTACAAAGTCATACCCTTCGGGCTCAAGAACGCGGGAGCAACGTATCAACGGCTCGTCAATAAAATGTTTGCGGCTCAGCTCGGAAAAACCATGGAAGTATACATCGACGACATGTTAGTCAAATCACTCAAGGAAGAAGACCACGTCGCGCATCTACGGGAATGCTTCGAACAATTGAACAAGTACAACATGAAACTAAACCCGGCGAAGTGCAGGTTCGCGGTCACCTCGGGAGAATTCCTCGGCTATCTGGTAACTCACCGAGGCATAGAAGCAAACCCCAAGCAGATCAAGGCTTTAATTGAGATGCCCTCTCCAAGGACGAAGCGCGAAGTGCAGAGGCTCACAGGAAGAGTCGCCGCGCTGAACAGGTTTATTTCCCGTTCCACAGACAAATGCCTCCCCTTCTACGACACCCTCCGGAAAACAAGAAATTTGAGTGGGACGAACGATGCGAGACGGCTTTCCAGGAATTGAAGAATTATCTGGCGAGCCCACCAATCTTAGCAAAACCAGTCTAAGGAGAGCCGCTCTTCTTCTTCATCGCAGTGTCTGCTACAGCTGTAAGCGGAGTGCTTATCAGAGAAGAACGATCCGAGCAAAAACCCATTTTCTACATCAGCCAGACATTGACCGATGCCGAGACTCGCTACCCCCAGATCGAGAAAGTCGCCCTGGCCGTCGTAGTCTCGGCTCGCAATCACATTCGATTGTTGTGCTCGCTACGCTTCCGCTGCCCTCGATCCTACACAGCCCTAGCCAATCCGGTCGGCTCGCCAAGTGGGCGATAGAGCTAAGCGAATACGACATCGAGTATCGGAACAGGTCGTCTGCAAAGTCACAGGTGCTCGCAGATTTCCTCATTGAACTCCCCACCGAAGCAACAAACGAGCCGACTCTAGATGAAGTGTGAATGCTGCACGTCGACGGCTCGTCGTCTAAACACGGCTCGGGAATAGGAATCCGCCTCATCTCTCCCACCGGAGAAATTATGGAGCAGTCTTTCCGCCTGAACTTCCACGCCTCGAACAACGAAGCGGAATACGAAACACTGATCGCCGGCATACGACTAGCGCAGGGAATCAGAGTTCGAAAGATAAGAACCTTTTGTGATTCACAGCTCGTAGCATGTCAGTTCAACGGAGAATACGAGGCAAAAGATGGACGAATGAGAGCTTACCTCAAAGTGGTCCGAGAGTTGGTGCAAAAGTTCGATGAGTTCGAACTCACTCGCATCCCCCAAGGAGAAAACACCTCGGCCGACGCCTTGGCAGCACTCGCTTCGACCTTGGACCCAGACCTCCGACGAACGATCCCAGTCGAATTCATCGAACGTCCTAGCATCGAAGAGGTAGAAGGAGTTCGGCTGATAAATCCTCCTGAACAAGAACCAGAGGACGACGAAGCCGTTCCTATGGATGAAGACGCCTCACCGGCCGAGCCGGAGTACGGCTGCGACAAAGAATGGCTCGGAGCTATCCAAGTGTATATCGCCGATGGAGAGGTGCCAACCGAAAAATGGGAAGCCCGCAAACTAAAAGCTCAGGCCGCGCGGTATGTCCTCGTCGATGGTGAGGTGTTTAAATGGAGATTTTCAGGGCCTCTCATGACATGCGTCGAAGGACCGGAGGCAAGAAAGATCATGCACGAGGTGCACAGCGGCGCGTGCGAGAACCATTCCAGCGGAAGGTCGCTCGCTATCAAGATTAAACAGCACGGCTACTTCTGGCCCACGATGGTCAAGGACTGCGAGAAATTTACAGCGAAGTGCGAGAAGTGTCAGCGGCACGCTCTAAGAATTCATCAACCTAACGAGCTGCTCTCGTCAATTTCATCACCTTATCCGTTCATGAGATGGTCGATGGACATCGTCGGACCTCTACATCGCTCGAAGCAGAAGCGTTTTCTACTCGTCTTCACGGATTACTTCTCCAAGTGGGTCGAAGCCGATTCCTACGCAAGCATAAAGGATGTTCAAGTCGAACACTTCGTCTGGAAAAATATCATCTGCCCACACGGGGTCCCCTACGAGATAGTCACCGACAACGGATCCCAGTTCATCTCAACACGCTTCGAAGCCTTCTGCGAGAAATGGAAAATCCGCCTCAGCAAATCTACGCCAAGATACCCTCAAGGAAACAGACAAGCCGAAGCAGCCAACAAGACGATCCTCGACGGTCTGAAAAAGAGGCTCGACGCCAAGAAAGGACGGTGGGCAGACGAACTCGAAGGAGTCCTTTGGTCTCATCGGACAACTCCGCGCCGAGCCACCGGTGAAACTCCATTCGCTTTGGTATACGGATCGAAGTGCGTAATTCTCCCCGAGGTGGATTTCCCAGGTATTCGACGAAGACTTCTACCAGGACAGGAGGGCCTGAACCACTTAATGATGCTAGATGAGCTCGACCTAATCAACGAAAAGCGCGACCAAGCCTTAGTTCGAATCCAGAACTATCAACAAGCAACAGCGCGGTACTACAACAAAAACGTTCGTAGCCGAAGATTCAAAGCAGGGGAGCTCGTCCTCCGAAAAGTCTTCCAAAACACTACCGAGAAGAACGCAGGAAAGCTCGGAGCAAATTGGGAAGGTCCTTACAAGGTCACAAAAGTGGTTCGTCCAGGAGTCTACGAACTCGCGACACTAGCTGACGAGGCGATTCCAAGATCATGGAACGCAATGCATCTAAAGAAGTATTATCACTAAAACTATAGCACGGCCAGCATGAACTACGGGACGGCTTGATCCCTGCAAAGGGTACGTAGGCAGCCCGTCCTCGGACGGGTTCAGCTGTCCCCCCTCCTAAAATGGGGGGGGGGAGTGGTTCGTTCATTATCGCTTCGGCTAGTTTCTCATTCTTTCAGCAACTTATTTTAAAAAGCTCGGATTTTAAAATTGTTTCACTCATCATTTCGGCGAGTAATCATACCACTTCGGCACGATATCATGACCTGATTACCTCGGACCTTTGTTGGTCCTTAGTTTCAGTTCGGCAAACTAAGCCTCCGAACGCCTCGTCTCGTTGCTGGCCACAACGGGGGAACAAATACAAAGTTCTCTAAACGGACTTTTACCACCTTTCCTAGGACGAGGGTGCAAGTTACATCCTCTACGGATAAAAATGAAGCGCGCTATACAAATATCATACCAAAAACGTATCAGGTCGCCATGGTTTACTATCGCACACGAGATTATAAGTCGAGACTACATCGCTTTCTCTAAAACCGAAGTAAACTCTTGAAACCCGGACACACATACTCATCCTCTCGGAAACGCCGGTCCATAGTCAAAATCAATAAGACTACCGAATCATCCTCGGTCAGCAAAAACAAAAACAAAACGCCTCGCCGTTTACACGGCTCGGCACCACCCAACGAGAAAAATGCCTTGTCGTCTACACGGCCCGGCACCATGCAATGCGAAAACGCCTCGCCGTTTACACGGCTCGGCATTGCCAGCAAAAATTTGCCTCGACTTTCCAGCACCACCTAAAAGATGTTCCACAAAACTAACTTCCAGCTCGGGATTAAGAATCCAAACGAGATCCTTAAACGACTCGACCCTTAGCTCGTATTTCTATCGATTTCGGCTAAGGAAAGCGATCAAAATCATTTTTGACGCAACAGTTTTCATCCTCGACAATTTTTTCTAAGCCAACGGTTTTCACAGATATTCGTACAGATCGTTAAAAATAAATGCTTCAAATCCTAAAACGGCAAAGGGAAAGAGAATATATCCATAAGCGAAAATAAATGTCGGGTGGATAAAGCCGTCCAGGCACAGATTACATAAAAGTTCGGAAAGCAGATAAAAATCCTAAGTACAGAAGCATGAAAGACAAAACAGAGAAAAGCAGAGAGTATCAGGCCACGGACTGCGTTTCACGCTCGGCAAGGAGGTTCAAGAGGACCGGCGTGCCCGCGTTCGATCCGTTTGGATCAACGACGCCTAAGTTGGCCGCCGTCTCTTCGAGCGGCTCGTTACCTAGGCTGGTGTCGACCGAATCCGGCGATACGGGCGAGAAAACCAGCTCGCCTCGGATCTCGGAGGCAATACGCTCATACGTGTCGTCGTCAGCATATTCGCTCTCCCAGCTCTTTAGCTGCGCCTCCTCATCATCGAGCGTCGGGGCGTCTGGTCTCTTCAATACGGCAATCATCGCAAGGTTGCCCTTGATTTGCCCCAGATCGTTCTCGTCGTTTTTGGCCTTCTCGAGCTTGGCCAAACCCTCCTCCACCTTGGCGAGGCGTTCCTGAAACTTCACCGTAAGCTCTCGCCTCGCCTCCTTTTTCGCCCGCTTGACCTTGATGTCAAACAAGGCGTCCTTGGCCTCGATACGCCTCTTCAGCAACACCACCTCGGCGCTTTTGGCTCTCCTTGCCTCCTCCAGGCGAATCACCGAGGCGGAAACTTTGTCAACATTGGCGCGGAGAACTATTTTCTCTTCTTCCAGCCTCGACACTCTGGACATCGCCTCGTCGAGTTTCCCTTTCGCCGCCGCGGCCTCGTTCTGGGCCTCTTCCAGCTTCGCCTTTGACGCCGCAGTCTTGCCTCGGGCCTCGTCTAAGCGACCTTCGACCTTAGACAAGTCCGCCTCGTACTCGGCCATCAGGTCGTTAATGGCCGCGACAAACTGCAAAGAACAAACTCGCGTTAAAAACTTAGTAAAAATTTGCGGAAATAAAGGAAAACAAATAGAACGTACCTTGGTACCGCGCTGTGCCATCGCGCCGTACGACCTCGGCCTCCTCAGCTTTTCCGGAGGAGGAAAGCGCGTGCTCGCGTTTTTTACACGCGAGAACATGACGGCAGAGGCGTCGGGGTCGTTGACAACCAACTTGTGCGCGGCAGGGTCCCCGGGCGTCGGCTTCCGCCTCTTCTTGGACGGCTCGTCCTTCTGAACGGCGATGCCCTTCCCTTTTTCAGTAGCCGAACGTTTTCGGATAGAGTCATGCTTCTGAACAACCGAAGTCGATGGCCTCGTCGACTTCGGGAGGGCCAGGATGGCGGAGTGCGAAGGAGTCTTACTCTGCGTTGCCGAGCCGTCTCCAGACACCTCGGGGATTATTTCGCCCGGTTCCACCTCGGGCGCTGCATCTTTTTCAGCCGCCTCGGCAGTGTTGCCTTCTGCGACTCGGACCATTACATCCCCTTCCCGGCTCGGCGGGTCGGGTTGAGGGACGGCCTCGGCTTGCGCTGAAACCGCCTCGGCTTGAACCGCCTCGGTTTGCGCATGAGCCGCCCTCGGCAGCTCGTCTAGTGGCCTCCTCTTCCTCGCGCCTCTTCCTTTCTCTAAGAGCAATTATCACCATCTTCTCCCGGGTATCTCTTGAAGAACTTGAGGACGAAGAGCTGACGGGGACTCCGGCGAGGATGGCTCGCGCTTTTTCTACTTTTTCGAGGGTGAGTTCTTTCTCCAATTAACCTTCCGCGCCGAAAGAGAGTTTCGAACAGTAAAGAGGTCGTCGGGAATCGGGGGAAGAAAGCACCGAACTGCAAAACAAAGCAAAAAAGAAAACTTTTCAGAAAAGGAAGAAGATACCAAAAATAGTTCCGAGCCGAGGCAAAGCTTCGGGTCGGCTACCAAGTGGTCCCCAAGCGGTCTTGGTTCTTTGAACGTAATTCTCGCCGACCGACGCCTCGTTCACCAAGACGTAAAAGAAGCGTTCAGTCCAAAACTGATCCTTGCTGGGAAAACCGTCGATGATCCGTCGCTTCGCCTTGTTGGAAATATAGAATCTATTTCCCTTCGGAGCTTTCCTGACTTCCAGCAAGTTCAGCAGGTAATTCAGCTCGATATTAACTCCGCACTCGAAGCTTCGAACTAAGATACCAATCATATGCCGTAATCCCCTCGGCATGATTTGCCCAATCGAGATCCCGTGTTTCCAGAGATATTTGAGGATCACTCCGGGGATTGGGAACCAGAGGAAGCAAAGCTCGAAGAACGCCTCGTACAGAGTGAAATGATTCTCTGGAGGGTTGTCGACACGGTCGCTCTTCTCTGGAACGACAAACTCCACCGCCTCGGATATCCCGAAGCGATGCCTCAACGCCTCGAGCGACTCAAGGGAGCAGAGTGTTGAGCCAGGCGGGTCAGGTTTTTGTCTCTTAACTCTCGGCCCTCGCCCAGATGTGGAAGCGCCTCGGGACGCCATGAGACGTTCCAATTCAAGCTTCGCCTTGAAAAGATCAAAGGGAAATGCCTCCTCCTCGGCCTTGAGTGCGGCGCGGTTAATGTCCTCATCAGGAACAGGATCCTGGGGACGGTTCGTCGAAACCGACGGCTCGCCATCCGGAGAGCCGACATCTGATGGGTTTGCATGGTTTGACACTTCGTCAGATGAGCGATTGGAGGGGCTCGGCGAAACAGACGCCTCGGAGGATTCTGCCGTACCTCTCGCCTCGGCATCTACGCGGCTCGGCTCGTAATGAAAAAGTGAATCCAACGAATCGTCGGAGCAGCTCGACATAATTTACGACTTGTACAAGAGTTACAGCACGACTCGGCGAGCCTCTACCGGAAAATAATCTGGAACGGCGGAGACCTCGGAAACCCTAGCCAGAAAATAAATAAACTAGAGAGAGAAAGAAGAGAGAAGGGAGAGCTACCTTTAGTAAAAACGAGTGAGTCTGAAGATAATGAGGAAGAATGAAGGAGCTCACCCATTTATAGGAAAACCAAAGCGCGTGAATTCCGCGGAAACCTCGGGAAACCTTCCAAACAGCGCGTGGAATCCGCAGTGAAATGGCTAGATCGAACTACATCGGTCGCACGCGCCAATAAATCAGGAATTTTCTCTCGGAAGACCAACAGTTGGGATATCCAAGTTTTCATCCGGTATCTCACCAAAGTAAACGCCTCGTCGTTAATGAAACGGCACGGCATTAACTCTTTCTCTTCAAACGCCTCGTCGTTAACAAAATGGCTCGGCGCTAACTTTTTCTCTCGAAACGCCACGTCGTTAATGAAACGGCACGGCATTAACTATTTCTCTTCAAACGCCTCGTCGTTAACAAAATGGCTCGGTGCTAACTTTTTCTCTCGAAACGCCTCGTCGTTAACGAAACGGCTCGGCGCTAACTCTTGCTCTCGAAAATGCCCCGTCGTTAACGAAACGGCTCGGCATTAACTTTTTCTCTTGAAATGCCGAGCCGTTAACGAAACGGCTCGGCGCTAACTCTTGCTCTCAAAAACACCTCGTCGTTAATGAAACGGCTCGGCATTAACTTTTTCTCTCGGAACGCCTCGTCGTTAACGAAATGGCTCGGCATGAACTTCCTCTCGAAACGCCTCATCGTTAACAAAACGGCTCGGCGTTAACTCCCTCTCTTAAAACGCCTCGTCGTTAACAAAAACGGCTCGGCACGAACTTTCTCTCGAAAGGCCTCGCCCTTTATTCGGCTTGGCATAACCTTCTCAAAACGCCTCGGCGTCTTCATTCCCACAACACCTCGTCTGGGCTTATGTCATAACAGCTTGACTCGATGGTTTATCCTATGGTCAGGAGTAATGGACCTCGTCACTCTCGCCTCCGAAACTGACGAGCTAGGGGGCTAACTGTTGGGGTCGGTTTTCACCCCACGTAGATAAGACCATCTCAAAATGACTAAGTATGGAAGAAAGACAAGTGGGAGATCCGTTCTCACCAAGTGGGAGAGCCGTGAAGATAGACCAGTAGGGAGAGCCGTGAGGAAAAGAGAGATGGGCCGAGCCGTATCGCAAGAAATGGGCCGAGCCCCTCTCCAACACGCCTGGGCCGAGCCGCGCCTCGGTGAGGTGGACCAGCTCACGTCTCGACTCAAATGGCTAGTGTCCCGAGCCGTGGAGAAGTTTAGATGGGCCGAGCCGTGGAAGAGCTTAGATGTCCCGAGCCGTGGAGAAGCTTAGATGGGCCGAGCCGTGGAGAAGCTTAGATGGGCCGAGCCGTGGCAAAGGAGAATGATGGGCCGAACCGTGGCCTTGGGAGACGAAGCCCATAAAAACCCTAGGCGAAATACAAAGGCGGTGAGCCACACGAGGCGATAAGGAAATATTCCGAAAATCTCTCCCGAGATTCTCGGCTAGGCGGTTCAGAGAGTTAGTATAAATAGACGATGTATACAATTCATTCTGTAACTTTCGCAACCCTAAGCAATAAGACCTACACACTTTCACAGCAATAAAAACCTTCTTTCGGTCTTACTGTTCTTGCGATAAACCCTAGAAGTTTCCGATCCCTTAAGTTTTTCCTTAACAAATTTTTGGTTGTGCGAGCTTTGGCTCATACAATTATATCAATTCTAATCAGCTAAACCTAATGCACGACATGCACTTCTAAAAGAAGGATAAACGGTTCCACCAAAAGTTCTAATATCATCAAAGTTACACGGACCCCTCACTACGTCTAACAAAATCCTAAGATAATAATCTTCTCCACTCTATCGGTGATTTCTCTATAACACATGGACCAGGATTTCCACGTCGTCTTGGTCTCCACAACTTATTTTTCTGATCCCATACAAATCGAGAAGGTATCTCCGAGTACAAAAGACATCTCGCCTCCGGGTAAACCTGGTTACACTTGATCCATGCATGGAACTTAGCTTTTCCAACCGGAACATATGCATCTAAACCATTAGCAAACAAAACATGTCTTTCGGGAAGATAAAATGGTAAAACTGGCAATCTTATGCGTCGATGCCTGTGAGAACCTGGTCACCAAAGTCATAGCAACGAATCATTATTAAAATTAAAACAAAGGTTTGAAACATGAAACCAACATTAAAAATACAGAACGACAACAAAACATAGCATAAAAACAATAATTAGTTTATGTATAGCATAATGATTACCTATCCCCTCCATCGCGGAGCCCAAACCAATAACTCAACTCGGAAGTCCATTGTATGTGCACATATATATATATATATATATATATATATATATATATATATATATATATACATACAAATACAACGCTCTTGCTAATCAAAATTAACAATTTTTTATTAACAAAATAACCCGATAAATATAGTTGAGTTCCATTTTTACATAAATAATTAATTTTATTATTTTATGATAAGGTAAACTTCTATTACAGATTACAACGGATCAAAGGATGTTATATTCAAAAATTTCCAAGTATAAATTTGTATTGAATAGATAAGGAATATTGTCAAAATTTCATTATTAAAAATATGCAATATATATATAGCTAGGGTTAACCCGTGATGGACAATCTTATATTACGAATTCTCTCCTTTTTACGATTATTATTATTCGACGATATATCCTACATATATGGATCCTCATGAATTCTAAGATACCAATCATAAAAAGACTCGACCATTTTGAAAACCTAAAACTAACTTCTTAGTCACATTGATGTAAAGTATCAAATACGTCCCGACCATCTTGAAAACCTAAAACTAACTTCTTAGTCTCATTGATGTAAAGTATCAAATACGTCCATTTCTAATTAGAATTAGAATATATTACGATGTTTATATTCACATATTCAATTTTGATAGACGAATATAAACTTGTATTTAGAGAATATACAAATCATTTAAAAGTCTAATAAACTGGTATCTAGAGAATATATCAATCGTTTAAAAGTTTAATGTAACCGTTCAAATTATATATTAAATAAAATCATTAATTGCCAAGACTTTAATTTTTAACAAACCAATGACATAAAAATGATGAAATAAAAAATAGATAAATAGAATGTTTGCTTGCATATACACTACTGAATAAGAACAAAAAAATGACCGATAGCTGATCCAAGAAGTGAAACCAAAATAGAAGCATAGCATTGTCTAGTACTCAAAACGTACTCTATCTCCCAAACATATCTTCTTATGAGGATACCTACATTCACGAAAAGAAAAACAACAAAGACATCAGATCATCAAAATAAGAAATTAATAATCTACCAATATCATTAAAAACTTACTGTTCTAAGAAATCATCAACTTCTGGGATAGAAGGATTGAGCTCAAACGTAGTAGGATAAGTGGACGATATAGTAATTTTCCCTGCTTATATAAACACATACATTGGATCAAAACAACTAATAATATATAATACCAAACATAAATATGATAGTAAATTGTTTTATAAAAAATACCTCCAAAATAATCAATGACTGCCCATCTTAGCACACACACAATCAAATCCTGACCACAGAGCTTCCAAGATGTGTAAAAATTTCTAGCCATCGTTCCAGAAAGCTCACAACCCAAACAAAAACCACTAAATAAAAACAAAAGAATATAATAATCAGAACTAATAATACACATTACTCATACACAAATCAATAATTCTGATAAAGAAATACCGTTTGTCCTTTAAAGAAAAAATAACGATTGAATATGCACCCCATTCACTCTGATCAGTATACTGATCAGATATCAGACCAAGACAACTCGTAGACCGTTCCACATCCAGGACACAACCTATCAAATCTAAGAAATTCAACAAAAGTTAGACCAAATAATCATAATCATCAGCATAATAATCAAAAACTAACGCTTATAAGAAAAATAAACACACCAACTAAATAATCATCATCATGGACACGATCCAATATACTTTGGAAGTTCACAAAGTCAAAATATCTGTTTTCATATTGACGGGATGTCTTGTCAATGGTACTGGATGGTAGAAACACTATCTTGTAACGATGAGCGGTCGGTCTACAGCTACCATTGCAATCGATAACATCAAAAAGACCGATAACAATCCAACTTCCAACATCAACACGTGACTCAATACCAATCAAGTCGTTCCCTCGAGCAGTCGCTTGGATTTTAACACCCTTGAAAACAAAAAATATCATTATATAAGAACAAACGAATGTTTTTATAAATATGTTAAAAACACAAATATTTCTCTACATAAACCAACCACCTATTCATCTGACAATATAACCTCAAAAGAAGAACGTTTTGAAATTAGCTCATGCGTCCACGTCTGTAAGACCTTAACAAAGATTGTACACTGAACTTTCGAAGGTCTTAAGCGCGAGACACATCCTCCAAAACACATCGACCTAAGCGGAACAGTATAAGTCCAAGTGGGACCTCGACAATCGGAGACACTAACGTCTCTCGTGATAAGTATTTCAGACGAATCGACGTTAGGATGATCATCTATGCCATTACCATTTTTAGACTCATCATCCAATCTAATACCATCATCATCATCACTATCACCATCAGACGAATCACCATTATTTTCATCGTCTCCACTATCATCCCATGAATGATCACTCGAGCCATCAGAGCCATCAAAACATTCATCATCATTGATAAAATCATCATCAGAATCATAATCATCTGTTTGATCTTTGTCAACAGTATCATCATGCAATCCATAATCAGAATCCATATAATCCTCGAAACCTAAATCTTCATCAGTTCCACGACCAGACAATACCTCAGTATTTTCAGAATGGGTATCATCAGAATCACCAACCACTACACA